TTTACTTTCTAAATAAGGGAAATTCTAAGTTCTTTACATCCCCCTCTCCTACTCACGTAGAGTTGTTTTTTTAATTTCATCCACCCACAGGAAATTTCTACAGCCTCATTAAACCAGACTACTAAAGGTTGTTGAACAAATGAACATGCCTGTCTTTCCCCTGAAATCCAGCTGTGCTTACAGGAACCGGGGACCTCAAAGTGCAAGGATTTTGACCTTCTGCTTCCTAGAAACAGTGTGTGGGCCACCCACTCTATCAAGTGTGCATAAAATCTTTACTCTAGAAAGTACTTTTTCGGTCTCTTAAGTGCCGGTATGTTCCGGAGACATCTCTTTTCACTGCAGACTCTCATCGGGTGATGTTATCTATTGCCTTGATTTCTATTATGCACTGTTTGACTGTCTTTATGTTGATGACATTTAGAATCTTGGATATGGCTCCAATCTCTTTAAATTTGAAATGTCCCCAAATGAACTCAACATTTTCTCCTCATTCTAAACAGATTTCACTGCCAGGTGTCCTGGCCAGAAATCTCACCATTATCTGTGACTCCTCCCTCCCATCTTTAATCAATTCACTGTCTAAATTTCTCTATTTATGCAGTTCTGCATCTCCAATGTTGATTACTGTAAGAGTACACTAGCCATTCACCCTGCCTCTAGTTTTGTTCCTTTACGATTCATTTTCCACCGTGGAGCCAAGAATTGTCTTTCTAAAATGCAGTTCCTGCTATTTACTTGCTTAAAACATCCATGTGTTTCTCTTACCCTCTGAATGTAATATATCTTTTAACAGCCTTTATGGTTTGGTTGCTACTAACTTCCCACTACATTATTTGGCAACAGCGTGCATCTCCCTGTGTTCCAACCATATTCAAATGTTCATTTCAGCTGATATGCCATGCTCATCTATGTAACTGAATCTCAATATAGGCTGTTCTCTCAAAATATTCTTCACCTCCTTTCTTCGAACCTATTCCCAAGCCTCCTCAATCTTCATGAATTTCACCTAAATAAACCTTATTCTTTAGATTGAACAGGGTAACCAAAGCCCAAGATTCTTTATCTGCAAAGCAGATTAGATGGTCCTCAGGTGTGGGTCCTCAGCATCCTGTCTTTTGTTCTTAAGATTTGCTGTAACTGACTGTCAGTGTTGTCCCCACACTAGCCACCTAGCTCCATGAATGCAAGGACTGTGTATGTCCTACCACTGCTGGATCCCCAGAATCTAATACAATAGTAGACACATAGTGGATGATCAGTCAGTATTTGTTGAGTAAGTGTTATATGAAGCAGGGTGGGGGATCTGACATTCTGTGGATGAGATATCCCCTCTTTCTAAGGAAATGAAGAGCAATAGTCAGTTCACAAGACCTTTCTCTTTTCTCTGTCTGGGTGTACCCTGGTACTGATATCATACAAGGATAGTCACGGTTCCTGCTTGTCTCATTCCTAGAGGCGCCATCCAAGATGAACATTTTCTTGGCCTTCCAGCTAAAGGAAGAATAAGCCACTTTTTTATAGGAGTATATTTTAGGAAGAATATAGTGCATACAGTGTCAGATGGAGATTTGAATCTAACTGGGAAAATTTCTATGAAAAGAGCATAAAATCATGATTTTCTATTGTCTTCCTAGCTGTGACATCTTCTCTCTTTTTTCTATTTTTCTGGAGATGTTTTTGTTGGCTCTTTTCTGCCATTTCTTTTTGCCTGACCTCTAAACCTAGGTATTCCTTAGAGAGGCTAGATCTATTAAAGCCATAGGCTCTCCTCAGGCAATGTGCATAATTTCATCATTTTCACAAACACATATATGTGTATGAATTACATGTCTGTATCTTCAGCATTGCACTTTCGCCCCCATATTTGCTGAACATTTTAGATCAAATGTCCTCTAGGTAGCTCCATCTCAACATACCTACATGGAAGTTAACATCCCCGGCACCAAATCTCCTTTTTTTTTTTTTTTTTTCTGTTGTCCTATTGCCACTCCCAGTCCCAAGCCATAGACCCAAGAGGCACTCTTGAAAACTACCTTACCCTTCCCTTCTATGTGCACCAGTTCCACAAGAACCACCCTTAAATAGGTGTTGGTTCTATCTGCTCCCTGTTTCTGGAATATCCCAACAACCATTAGACCTTTACTATCGTTTGCCCTAATAAAAACCTAAATAGACCTTCATTGTGTTATGTTAACTCTTGCAACAGCCTCCTAACTAGTTTCCCCATTTCCAGGCTTGCCAATTTCTAGGCTTGCCCATTTCCTGTTTCACCTACTACTGCATTTTTACTCGCAGCTACCAAGGTGAGCTCATCTAACTGTTTGTCCAATAGTGTCACTCTCCTCTTCCCTGCTGAAAATCTTTGGTAGCTCTCTTCAGCTATGGCTCTCATGCTTGGCTATTCGTTAGAATCAAGTGAGACGCTTTTTCATAAATATGAATGATTGGCATCCCTCTCAGTCCAACTGAATTCTCAGTCCCAGAGAGTGGGGCCTGAGCATCTGGGATTCTGCTGAACAGCCAGAGTTGAAGACTACAGGGTGGCATATGAGAATTTTCTCATCCCAATCTCTGCTCATTTCTCTACCCATCAACTACCATATCATATCACACTCTATCTGCACTAGTAACAAATATCATGCATCTATTGCACTCATTGCTACGCACACTCTGGCCACTCAGACATCTGTACTGGATTTATTCTGTTGCTCCCACTAAGACCCTCCTACCTACCTTCATTGCTCCATTGACTCTCTCATCTTTAAAGGACTTGCTGAGGCATCATCTCTTCCAGGAAGCCTTCTTTGACTTCCTACACACCCCACAACTGACTTCCAAGTCCAGGTCTCAGATGTATTCACAACTGTTCTTTTATGCTCCCACAGTAGTGTGGCCTGTAAATGTCTCTGTCATTGCACACTCCAACATGTTATTTAAATTTTACGCTCATATGTGTGTTTCCCCTACTAGACTGTGATGGCCTCCAGGTCCAGAAGGTCAGAAGTTACCTCCGCCAGCTCCAGGGACACACAGAGGCCATAGCATAACATGGGGCCCAAAGTCATCTGTTCACAGCAGTGATACTGAAGTATGGAATCGGAGGAGCATTTTGAGAAGCCCTTTTAGTGCAGGTTTTTCAAGTCTCATCATTACAGTAACTCTGGAGCTATGTTAAGAAACCTAAAAGAGGCAAAAAGAGTAACAGGAGCCAAGAGGGGTGCCAAGAGATTCAGGTTTCATGTGTGACATTTGAAACAAAGATTGAGAAGCAACCTGGAGAAATTTCCTGATTTGGTATTTAGCTCTTCACTGACCTTGACCTCTGGCCTTGGCCTCTGGAAATGGTTAAAGGCATTGACAAAGAAAAGAGAGCAGAGATCGGTGTGTGTGTGTGCGCGCACGTGTGTGTCCTGCCTCATAGCCGTTGATGAAGATTTTCTCCCTGACTAAACACCAGCCAAGCTCCTCTGAGTCCTCTTCTCAACTAACCCTCAACCTTGGCCTAAAACCACAAAATGTCAGCATAAGCAATTTCATCCACCCCCATCCCCCACATTCAAAGACGTGAACAAATACTAACATGGTTTCTAACAGCTCAAGGGCATATCCTTAGGATGATGACTCCAGTGCCATAAGTTCCTGACAGAAAGCTCAGGGCTGCAAAACAATTTACTGTTTTGTACCAGCTCCAGCCAACTCCTGAATAGGGTCCCTGTCTCCCAGTCTCAGAGGGAGGGTAGGAATCTAACTTTGATAAACGCCAGTTTGCAAACCCAGATAGCTCCACGTGGACCAACCCCACTCTCTCACATTTTGTAAACGTCCACTTCCCTGATTCTGCTCGCGTCCCTGCTGTTCCCCATCCCTAGCTCCTCATCCTTCCTCTATGAGTCCTAGCCACCTCTGCACAAATCATAGTTCAGTTCAGTTCACACTGGACCTACTTCTCTATTGCAATAGTTCATGACTAATGAAAATTTGTCGGCCGGGCGCGGTGGTTCAAGCCTGTAATCCCAGCACTTTGGGAGGCCGAGACGGGCGGATCACAAGGTCAGGAGATCGAGACCATCCTGGCTAACACGGTGAAACCCCGTCTCTACTAAAAAATACAAAAACCTAGCCGGGCGAGGTGGCGGGCGTCTGTAGTCCCAGCTACTCGGGAGGCTGAGGCAGGAGAATGGCGTGAACCCGGGAGGCGGAGCTTGCAGTGAGCTGAGATCCGGCCACTGCACTCCAGTCTGGGCGACAAAGCAAGACTCTGTCTCAACAAAAAAAAAAAAAAAAAAAAAAAAAAGAAAATTTGTCTTTACCACTTCCCTTGTGCCTGGTTTTCTTTATCTTTGACAGCACCTTCAGCAATACACATTCTGATATCCTGGGGGATCTGACTCTTGAGGCTGATGAGGCACTTAGTAGGATGACTATTCCCAGGAGAAGCTCAGTGAGCAAGAGGAGGATGAAAACCAACCAGGCAGTGGTTGGAGGAAAGTGCAGCTCAGATGAAAGCATTAGGGGTGACATATTTTAAAGAAAGAATATTTCTAATAGAAAAAGCATTTGGATCCTCAGTTAAACATTTTTGAAGAAATATTCCTCATGGCAAGGAGTTTTAAATAGAAGAATGTTCTGGTCCCCTAAACTTACTTTCTTGCCTTCTCTCCTTTCTGATTAAAAAATTTACTGTTTCTAAAACTTCCTTTTTTTCTACCTATAAAACATAACACTTTTATAAAAATGTGTCACATGAGTTTCTATACACAAGAAAATGTTAATGTAAGAAAGATTGTTACATTATTTGATTTAGGGAATTGACTTAATTTATACAATCTGAATTTTTAAAAATTCTTTATCCATGTTCTGGCCTTTAACATTTGTTTCCTTGATATAGTTCCCTGTTACATAGTTTTGTAATTTAAGTTCATGAAAGCTTAAATTACTTTAAAGCATAAAAGAACAGAAAGCAAACTTAGATTGAGACAAATAAAATAAAACAGACAGTAGAGATATCAATAGATTTACTTAGATCCATTCACTTAGCATCAATGCATAACACATTCCAAAAGCGAGCATATATTAAATTTAAAATGGATCATCTTAATTGGATTCAATAATTGCATAAATGGTCAAACGATTTTCATTTTCTATGTTTTGGGCCATGCATTTCATTCCTTATTGGTTTGCTTTATTGAATTAACATAACAATTATTTGTTTTAATAGGAATAGAGAAAATAATCATGAGAAAGAGCAGTGGCGGAGCATATACTTCTTACTCCTGCTGCACACAACATATATGGCAGGTGATGATACCAAACAGCTGACTTCTGCAGAGACCTAAATGGCACATCTTGGCACATGTGGATAAGTATAATGTTTAGTAATCTAAAAAATGAGAAAATATTATAAAAATAGAAGAAGTAGAAAACCCTAGACAAGTTAAAATACAGAAAAATTTTAAGCAAAGTTATTTGAATCAGGCAATATTTAATATATCAAATATTAATCTTAATAACTATGTATAAAGTAATCTAAATCCAGGACACTAACCATGTCAAAAGGCAGCTGGCCTCCTGACCACCTCACAATCCTTTGCCAGGATTAGTGTTCTCTGATTACATACTTGGGCACCCCCTGATTACAATAGTACTTGTTTATTATTGAGATTATAAAAATAACCATTCTCTAAATGATTACACATAGTAAATAAAATTAGAACTATACATAAGGATTTGAATAACTGCAATTTCTTTAAGGACCACTTGCAACTTCTTCTGTCTGTTTCACAAACCTGCAGAGGAGAAATGAGACAGAAGAAAATGTGCTTAATAACATGTTTACATTATAGCATATTAAAAAAGAAAAATTGCAATTTTAATGCTTTCCTCTATTGCAAGGAACTTTTACAAGGATATTGACATTAGAATACTACCTCTATTAATCATATTTGCAGCCTATATATCAATTTCTGATATCTGTATAAAATTCTAATCACATTAGATGGTGATATGGCTAGGCTTTGTGTCCTCACCCGAATCTCGTGTTGAATTACAATCCCCATAATCTCAAGGGAGATGCCAGGTGGAGGTAATTGAATCATGGGTACGATTTCCCCCATGCTGTTCTTGAGATAGTGAGTTCTCATGAGATCTGATGGTTTTATAAGGGGTTCCTCCCCGTTCACTTGGCACTTCTCCTTCCTGCTGCCTTGTGAAGGAGGTGCCTTGCCTCCCTTTTGCCTTCTGCCATGATTGTAAGTTTCCTGAGGCCTCCCAGCCATGCTGAACTGTGAGGCACTTAAATCTCTTTTCTTTATAAATTACCCAGTCTCGGGTATGTCTTTATAGCAGTGTGAAAACAGACTAATACAAATGGCAAGGGAAATAGTCATGTTTCTAGAATATTTTACATGATTTTTCTGCTTTGTGTCATAGTTATATTTAATGTTTTTGATTCGCCAATGTAGACCATAAACATTTTGAAGGAAGACCTTCAATCTCCATCTTACTCACAGGACCTGAAATAATGCTTTGTGTGTGGCATTTGCTCAGTAAATATTTATTTGATGCAAGAGAGGGAGAAAAGTTAGAGAGGAAGAGAAAGAGAGGGAGAGTCTGGTTGTTTTTGCACACACTTTTTGTTTATCTGGAATGCTTTACTTATTCCAACCAACCCCAGCTAACTCTTTTATCAACTGCATCTTTCTTTCCTTTAGGCCTCACCCTTAGACATTACTTTCTCTTGACCCTTTGACTACTAGTCAAGACAGAACTCTCCTGATGTGCATACTTATCCTCATACTTCTATAATCACCATCAGCAGCATTTTTCTATAAATAGCTGTTCACTGTGTGTCTTCTCCACAATTTAGTAAGTTCCATGATGAGAAAACCTATGATTGGTGCTGTATCACCCATGATAATGACATGTGCTATTCTCTGACAGTAGTTACTGATCTATTACAGGTTTTAAATATGAATCACATGAGTGACAATTTACTTGATTAGAGCTCTTGAACTGAACAGCAGTATGCCTGTACATCATACAAAGTGCACTTGACGGGCTGAGGAAGAGAACCATGTGATAGTTCTGTACCTATATCCTTAATATATATCTCATCCTTCATAATGAATTCATAGCTTTCTAATGTACAGATTGCTATAATTTTTCTAATCAATCTCTTTTTTTGGTTATTAGGTTGTTTCTATTTTTTACATGCTTTCCATGTTTTCTTGTAAAACATGTTTCATGCTTTATTATAAAACATATGGCAATGAACATAATATTCTGATAGCTATATCATAGTACATTGAAGAAATTATTTATTCAGGTAATGTCCTAATGCAGAATTATTGAGTCAAGAGCAATTACAGCGGAGCAAAATTAAATGAGCAGACAAGGGTAACAGTAAACTTCCCATTACTCAAGGTGTTTATGTAGAGTCTGGGTACTGCAGGGGTACTGGCAGGGGTACTGGCAGGGTTACTGCAGAGAAAAGGCGAGCATTAGTTAGTGAAGGAGTGGCTGGTTCTAAATTCTTTCCAGTTTGATATTCTGTGATTATATGAGAGGTAAGGACAAGCTCAACACCTTTGCTTTTCTCTGGTAAATACTTAAGAGATGACAAAGTGATTTATTTTTTATCTTTGTGTATCCAGTTCATAAAATCGCCTCACATTCATGGACATGAAATTGTTCTGAGATCCTATAACTGCAGGGGATATATAATAGCATCATAGAGTCCATGGCCTGTATGTGGGAGAATATGTTTTTCAGCCCATATATATCTAGTAGATACTATTTTTTCCTGCCGAGGAGAAAGGGTTTAAAATCCCCATCTTCCCACCTTAGCAGGGGGGAATGCAGACTAAATGAGAACTCCAAAACCTATAGAACACACACACACACACACACAGAAACACACACACACACACACAGAAACACACACACACACACACACACACACACACAGTCTCTCTCAGGAAATCTTATAATCTTATGCAGTTACTTGGAGAAAATCCTATTCTCATTAGAGGTCATGAGGACTATGTATTTTTTTAATACAAATCCTGAGCAGTTTTAGAAGGTACCCATCATTACCTGACATTGATATTAAGTGCCCTGAGCAAACATACCAGAGTAGACCAGTGTAGGACAAGAAGAGCATGGAACGCAAAGAAGAAGATCTGCGGAACCTGCACAACGAAAGAAACAGAGATAATATGCCAGGCCAGAAAAAATCATCGATTAAATACCATTCCCTAGCCCTTTAACCAATTTCTAGTGAAGATTAATTGAAATTAATATCAAAACTATATTTATAGTATGTAGTGTCCTGCAATTCTAAATTTTAACTGCTTAGTAGTGTGTATACCCTCATTCCATTATTCAGTCATTTTCCACTTAAACCTCTGGTAATTTTTCCAATAAAATCTAAGGCAAAATGCCCCTCCAGGTAGTGTTCTGGATATGCATATAGTCTGTGTGAAGATCCCATAAGAATTGCAGTCATAATTGTGATGCCCAGCGTGGGTTAGGCAGGAAAGCCATGGTCTGCTCTGCAGACTGCTCCCCTAACACAGCTTATTCAGCCCCAGGCAGGTACATGCTACTTATTGTGATGCTACAAAATTATAAATTACTATCGTATTATCAAGATATATGATTTCATGAGGTAGTATATATATGTGTGTATGTCTGTGTCTGTGTATATGTGTATATATATGTGTGTACACATATATATGCAAACACACTATATTGTCTGGTTCATAGCATTATAGGCTAAATGTGATTCCTCTGAACCCAGCCCAGAGGCAGAAGAATATAAGACTATCTTTGAAGGAAGGAAAAAGTAGTGCCTAGTGGGGAAATGGGGCTTGACTATTCTAGTTCAAAAGAGTGGCAAAATAAAACAGAGGGTGAAAGCAGATGAAATAAGAAAGATAAGCAATTCCACTTGTCTGGAAAAGAATGGAAATAGATGAAGTTCAAATTTTCCACAGCATCTCTTGGAACACTAGCCCTACAAGATGTTAATCTAGATGATTCACAAACAAATGGTTATTGGTCAAATAATTTTGGACAACATCATACTATATCTGATTTTTTAAGGATCAAAATATACAACAGCACATTAAAGATTCGTAGAAGTCCTACACTAAGGAAAATGATTTAACCTGATATTTACCAAAGTTATTTTATAACAGATTTTTATAGAACACTCACTTTTAAAAATCCTATAAAGCATTCATTGGTTAAGTGCTACTTCAACTAGAATGAAATGGCTTATTGATTTGGTTGTCATTTCATACATTCTGCAGCAAAATGGAAAAAAAGCTTGGATTTTATATTCAGCTAGACCCGAGTTTAAATTTTATCTTCACCCTTTCCTATATATGTCACCTCAAGGAAGTTAGCATCGCTCAGCATCCTTCACAGAGGATGGTTCTAAGCAAAACACCTTTAGAAGGATCAAGTAATGGGCATTTAACATTTTTCAGTATTAAAATTTAGATGAATAGGAACTAAAAAAATATTTGGATTGAAGGTAGAGGTTGTATATAGAAGGTAGATGCTGGATACAGCTGGAGAACTTGGTGAATTGTTAGAAATCTTATACATGGGAGGGTTTGAAATAAAATAATGATCTATTTATGTTCGAGTGTTCTTTGCCACCCAAAGGTGTTAAAGCTGCTGGCAAGGGAGTGGTTGAATTCATGCTCTGTATTAGTGGTTCTTAAATTTTAGAGTGTATAAGAATCAGTCACAGGGCTTTTTAAAACACAGATTGCTGGGCTCCAATATCAGAGTTTCTGATTCAGTAGATCTGGGATGGAGCCCAAAGAAACTGTGCTTCTACTAATTAACAAGAGATGTTGATACTGATACTGCTGGTTTGAGAACTCCACTTTGAGCATCACTGTTTCGGCGTAGCACAGACCTTAGAGTGAAGGATGAAACTAGCTGTGGTCTTACACACTTGGAGATAGACGAGTAATCAAGTGTCTGGGTACCAAAACAAGACTGAAGTGCAAGTTTAGTAGAAAATGAGGAATTTTAAGGGAAGGAGGTTTGTGACAGATAGCAGATTACAGTAATGTAAGACTTTAGAGTTGGATGCTATTTCACATTTGATAAGAAAAAATATATATACAGCCTACGAGAATAACTAGATTTGAGAAGCAAGGAATTATAATGGCAGGATATTGGGTAAGTCACCCAAGTAGGAATTAAAATTTTCTGATGAAAATAGTTGTGGTAGGGAGGAAAACAGTGAGCCAGATGTAAGCATCTCACAGGAATGAAGAAAAGTGATTGGTAAGACTATAGAGACCAGGACGAGAACAGAACAACAATAAATGGTAGGAGCCTTTAAAAAAGAATTTCAGGTAGAATGTTGATGCTATCTCATGGTGCTTGGCACAGGGCAATGGAAAGAAGCAACAGCTTCCTCTGGTGGAGGCTAACAGGGACCCAGTGTTTTCTAGGAGGAACTCATTTCAAATAAGACTAAAAAAAAACATATAAAGTATTATTTTAATACCACCGAAGAACAATCAATTTGCCAATCAAGTTCCAGTCCCATAGAGCATGGTGCAAAGATCTGGAAAATATTCAACAATACAAGTGCAGGCTAAGACTTTATTTTGATGAGCATGGGGCAAAGGAGGGTGGCCAAGGATAACAGAGAATCAAAAAACAGAATTAACTGATTTCAAGTTTCTGAAATAAACTTTGTCATAAGGCTTTTCTTGCATGGAAATTACTTAGGCATTCAGCCTGGTACTGCTTCCTTCTCTTTTGAAGTAGGACTCCCCTATACTGGGGATAACCCATTATTTCCTATACTTGTGTGAATGTAAGAAATGAAGCAGCTTTGATGGGGGAAACAACAAATAAGAGAGTGGCCATCAACTCTGAAAATAAACATAATATTATGGATTAGAACACTATTTCTTCTTGAGGATAACGCCATATGCTACAAGTTTTTTCAGAGAGAAATAGCAAAACAAATCTCCTAAGGCAATGCACGACAAAGCACGTGTTGGGATTAAAGTGAATTCTATGTTGATGCACCATGTTCATTGCAACTCTGATGAACTATGTTTACTACAGAAGAACAGCACATTGAACATATGATATGTCATTGAACACATCCTGTTTTCTATCAGATATCAACAAACCACTTATTACATGCATGTATCTGTGTTTCTAGCGGTTATGACCTCCCTGAATAAACAGAAGACAAAGATAGAGACTTAGGTGTGGCCACTTCTCAAGTGATCTTTAAAAGTTACGTAGCCAATTTGAACTAAATTTATTCATTTATTAATTCATGAAGTTGATTCACTAAATATTTGTTAAGTAAAAAAATTATGAATGCATAAACATCTATTAAGTATTTGTTGAACATTTACAATGAAAAATAGGGATTTTAAGATTAAACTTTTCTTAATAGGCTAATTTTTTATAGTTAGGTAGAAGCGATGTATAAACTATAAAGCCTTATATAAGTGGTAGAAGCTTAAAAAACTTTTTTAAAGTTTTAAAATGGATAATCCTGTGTGTCCTAATATGGAAGAGAAAGTCACATATAATTTATGTCTAAGAACACAAGGAAAAGCTATGTTTTTGGTCTGAAGAATGTTTAATTATACTAAAGATGATATACAGTTTTGAGATACTTAGTCAACATTTCAAAACAAGCCATTTTGAAGAAATTTGGCAGCATGCTTTGAGCAGTTGTTGTACTTTTAATAGCTTACCATGGGATTGAAAACATACTTAATGTAATTACTAGATGCTATTTATTTTATTCTGTCAAAATTCTAATTTTTATGTTTATCATATATGGCTCCCTTAATTTTCTGGATGACTTTGCTTGTAGATAATAATTTGGAACACTGTAAATATAACTAAATCAAGTTGAAGTTTCTATTAAAAGCAGATTTTCTACTCAAATGTATTACTGCTTCAGTTTCTTTATAAGTTGTGTTCCCTTATTTTCTTATTTTATAGTGTTTTCTTTACGTTAAAACTATTTCAGTGTAGAGTGAGATCATTCCTCTCTTGATGTTATCTTTACACACATCCCTCCCACCCTGAAAGGTTTATTTAGCTTTTAGGGACACAGTGAAATTTCGGAGTAGAGGATATGGTCTTGGGCTAGATTTGAACTTAAATTGCACTTACTAATTCTGTATTCTTGGGAAAAAATATTTAACAAATCTGAGTTTGTAAAATCATATTAATAATGCCCATATAATAAATTGTCACAAGGATTAAATAAGATACCACTACATGGCACATAAGAATCAAAATTTAATACATGTTACTTCTGTCCCATTTCCTCCTCCTTCAGAAATGCATTTGTTTCTGTATAAGCCTTAAAATGTCAATGGCTCATAACAGGCTTTAAGGAGAAATGGAATGCTGTAATTCTAAATACCTCCCGAAAAGAGATTTGGTGGATCTATTTAATGTTAGTGATTGCAGCAGCAGACCATCTGGAGCAGCTGCTGTGAAGACGCCAGCTGTAGCAGGGGAGGCGTGACCAGGGATCTGCACTCTATGGAGCCGGTGGAAGCTGGGAAAAGGTGGAAGCTGCCTGCGTCTGAGTTGGCAGGTGGTAGCCCCACCCAAAGGGCACAGGTGCAGCTGCCCAGTCACAGCTTTGGACCCAGGCATCCCTGTGCTCTTGGGGGCCCAGCAAGACCACCTGCCTCTGCAGGCTCAGAAGTGACTGCTCCCACTGCCTGGTCTTTCCCCGACTCCTGATGCCCACTCTGATCTCAGAGCAAAGTTGTGGCTCAGTTCGGGCACTGTCACAACCCAACTGGGTGTCCATGCACTTGGGGCAGTGCTGACATGCCAGCCCCCTGCTGCCTCAGCCCCCTCCAGGCTTTGAGCACCCACAAGCACGGGAGAAGGGCTGACGGAGTGCTGAGGGCAGTTCAGTGAGGGTCTACAGGCACCCTATGGCACAAACAATCTGAGTGCCATGGGCACCATGAATGGCAGGTTGATGGTGGTAGGAGGTAAACATGCTCCAGGGCAGAAAGGGGTGAGTCCCCAGTAAAGTCCTACTTTCAAGCTGTGGATGAACTGAAGCCTGGGGGCTGGGCTGCCAGTTCCGCAGACCAGAGTGAGAACTTACGATGTTTCTCCTGGGCCCACCCACGGACCAGTCAGTACACACT